ATGTATATATCTATATATATTTATATGGTTGTTCTTGAACAAATGAGTAGCAGAGCGGAGTCACAAAAGAAATGTGTTTTTCTTTCAAAATTCAACAATTCTTCAAGTTCTCTTTTTTTTATTTTTGATTTATTTTGGAACTCTGCTCTGCTGCCTCATATCATTTGGTTTAGCTTCATTGTTGTTGTTTGTTGTTGTAGGCATTTACTATGATTTGAAGTTCACGTTTTTGTTGCTGTAAATGGTGATCTGAATGTAAGCCGGAAGTGTAATAATTTTTTCATATTATAGTCAAATCTTTCATATATTATTTGTTCATTCGTTTTATAATTTGTATCATGTGTTGTTGTTTGTTATAAAATGTAATTCCTGTTATTATTAAAACTATTAGTATTATGTTTTAATTTTAAGAAGAAAGGATTTTTTGTTGTCAAGTTGTTTGCTTTGTTTACCACAAAAGCTGCATTCGAATTTGAATTTCTTTTTCATTTTTTGTTTAGTTTTTGGTTTTTTTTTTGTTTTCTTTTTGATGTGCCAAGTTTTGTTGTCATATTTCATATTCATGCCTTTTCGTTCGTATTTGCTTTTATTTTATATAGTGTTAGTGATTTTTATGGCTTTTTGAGACTGCAATTAAAATTTCTGCTATAAAAATTATTTGTATTTGTACTCTTGGTTATTTAAATTGGGCTATTGTTGGTTTTGTTAGGTATGCTTGTAACTTTTTCCTTTGTATTGCTTTGCTTTGCTTCAATGCAAATTCCTCGGCAGTTCCTTGCCGCTCTATCTTCAACTAATTGCTAATGGTTTTTCATATTGTTTGCTTTGTTAGGGATTCGGTTCGGGTCGGGGTCACCAAATGGGGCCCCACTTGCCTGTCTATGCTGAATTTCCTGTCTCTCTAACTCTCTCTCTCTCTCTCAATCATTTTTTTGGTTTTTGCTATTTTGATCATTTAATGTTTATCGGTTAATCGACATTCTAGTTCTCACCTAATGGTTAGATCCTGTCTGCATTTTTTTATAAGGTCCTAGCTGGTGGTTTTTAGTTTTATAGTGTACCCTCAAACCAAAGAGGCTTTGGCTGATAAGGGTTCGTGTTGTTTTTGTTTTCGTTTTTCTTCATTTGGAGCTTAACTCTAAAGCTTGTTTCTCTGAAATCCACTGAAGCAGCTTGTTTACACATTTTTGGAGCTTTCTTTACATTTCTCACAAGGTATTCTTATGCGTGAAATTGTTGATCTTGTTGTTGTTGTTTTTTCTTTTTTTGCAACTACAAAAATAACATTGTTAAAATAAAATGAAAGGATAAAGTTATGTGCAAGAAATAGATTGGATGAAAACGAATTAAAAACATAGAGTTCCGATTTGGAATGAAACAGGAAGAAATATCTAACATTGTCAGATTTAAGTTTCTTTCTTACTCTTCCTATTACGAAACAAACCGGTCTGGAGCAATAATAAAATTTTGTGCTGTGTTATGTTAGTTTTATGTTATCAAAAATTTTGATTAATCAAATTTTTTTAGCGCCTAAATTTATGCTTAATTTGTTTTCGATTAAGTGTATTCGTTAAATTTTGTTTACATGCCTAAAAATTTACAAAAGTTTTATGTTTTTGTTTTTCTTTTTTACTTTGCATTTATCACAGCGACATTCAGTCTAAATTTTGCTTTTATTGGAATTATAGCATAATTTGCCATAATTGATATACATTTTCGAGTAATGTTTTACTTTAGTTAACTAAAACTAAACGTAATTTTGATTTAAAGCCAAAAGTGTTTTCGTTCTTTGTTTTTGAATGATGTTAAGTGTTAGTTAGTTTTTGTTCTCTTCGTTTTAAGCCAAAAATAATTGTTAAAAATTTTGTCTAAAAAGGCCTAAAAGTAGCATACAGCTTAGTGGTAATTTTTTTAAATTTTTTTTATAGCAAATCATGCTGATCATGGAATCTGTTCTACATAATTCCAATAAAAGCCACCATAATGGTTACCGCATTAATTTTGTTGTTGCCTTTGTGCCAAAACATGCAATTTTGTTAGAGCGGGAGAAATACGAGTAGGTATTTTTTTTTGTTTTTTTTTTTGTGTTCGTTTTTAGATTTCAATGTGCCTAAAATGTTTTAAAATTTTGACTAATTAAATGTGCTTAATAAAATTTTTTACAATGCCAAACAATTGTGTTGTGTAGTATGTATGTACGAGTATTTTTTATAAAACTTTTGCATGTAGTTTTCATTTTTGTTTCCCATGTGCCAAAAACATTCTATGTACAATTTTTCAATTAAGCCGAAAGTTTCTTTAAACGGAGCCTATCACAAAAATCAGACGCTTGCACAAGCCAAAAACTATATACGTATATATGCCAAATAATTGTTTGTATTGATTACCCCAAATATGTTCTTAAAATTAATGGAACCATAATTGGAGAAATGATATTGAAATGATATTAAATCATCATTTGGATAATTTTGTTTGTTTGTTTTTTTTTTATTATTAAAAATTATTAAATAATATATGCAAACATATTATAAAACTTAAAACAGCATATGCATATTAATAAAAACAAATGAAATTTCTTCAATCAGATTTAAATTATTGTAACTTAAGTTCAACGTACTCTCATACATATGTGTATTTAATATTATATATTAAATAATGAGTAAATAATTATATATTTGTAAACGTATGTGAAACGAATTTGCATTGAAATTTCTAGTTAAATTTCTTGCTTTCTTGCTATAGGAAACATATGCTATTATATAAATAACAATTATAAATGCTTTGACGGTACATTGGAAATTTGATAAGAAACTAAACTTTTGTATGCATACATCAGTATCCATTATCCCTATCCACACATATTGGGGAAGAGGTCCAAAGAAATATGGGAAGTACATATTATGTATTTCTATGCTAAACATATTAGCTGTGCTTTTGACTATTGTCTGTCTATTTATGTATGTGTATGGCACCTGAAGAGTCACATTTCAATCATTTTTCATCATCATTGGATTTGTTTGAATTATTTGGGAATTATTTGCAATTGCGGAAGGGATTTCATCTATGATGTACATATGTGTGGACAGTTTGAAATCAAGGCTTTTCTGTTGCATCTCTAATAACTAAATAAAAATCAACATAAACTACACAAAACTCATCGTTAGGGAAGACAACAAATGTTCGTTTATAAGTAGGTGCTAAAAACTAAATGTTATTCAATTTAAATTTGCGATTTCTTCAATTTTAATTTTAAAACAATCACATCTCAATTCATAGAAATTAAAAGCAATATTTTGTTTTGCTTGTGACTTCTTGTTTTTGATTTCGTGAAACAAGTTTAACAATTTTCTGGTTGAGTGGGAGACTGAAAGCATAATTGGAAGTACGAGTATGTGTAATTGATCTGAGATCAGGGTGTGGTAAGAGGGAATACGAATTTCCAAAAGGGGCTTTCCAAATAAGAGTGTCAATTGAAGAAGGAGATCAGTATTTCCAAAGACGGTGAAATGGAATAGCGCGGAGATAAGAACTCAGTACTCAACCAGAGCTGTGAACGAAAAATGTATAAATTATAGAATTTCCGCTGCACTTTGTTTTCCAACGCATTTGTAATATCGTATGCCTAAAAATTGTTTCACATTTTTTCAACGTAAAGAAAGATTCGAATACTACAAATACAAAACTCATATATAGTAAGTAGGTTAGCTGCTATCTTCAAAACAAATTGCTTAGCGCAACGCATAGGTAACTCGCACTCTCCTTCAATACATCCTCCTCCTCCTCCACCTCCCACCATAATCCATTAATCGATACACACCTATCTAGATATAGTATAGTATATATGTATCGATAACTATCACGCAATACCTGTCGTATCTCTCTATTTCCACTGCTCATCTATCCATCCGACTATCTCTAAACTCTGGATGCGTTTTTGTCGCCTACGCCTTAAAATCGTATAACTTTGTCATAAAAGTGTGCTTAAAAAATTGCTGAAGAATTCTCTGTAATCGTATAAATATTTAATGTGTAGTCTTTAAATGTAAAGCCTTAAAATAAGATTTTCGTTATGGTAACGGGTTTAAAATTGTTCAAAAGGAATCGTATAACATTGTGTTTTGGTTATCATTTTTTTTGTTTTACTTCTCTTCATGTTGTTGTTGTTGTTGTTGCATTCTTTCTACATTCTTCTTATTCTTTTGACCATTTGCATTTGATGTTTATGGTACGAAAGGAGTTTAGAGTCCTTTTCGAAAAGACTAGTACTCGTCTGTTCTATATTCTTGTTGTTGTTATTTTCCTCGCCTTCTTGTTGTTGTTGTTGTTGTTGTTTTTGTTGTACACCAAAACTGTGTTTTGTTTTAACCGTAATTATTTTAAAAACTAGGAGAATTTCCACATTTTTCATCTTCCTCTTTTTTTTTATACACATATATAACTAGAGAACTTATAGAAATAGATGAAAGTATTTTGAATAGTTTCTGTAAAAATGTAAACTTGAAGACTTACAAGTTTCTGATAAATTTGTTAAACAAATTGTGTGGGCGCGATAGCTCTTCTTCTAATTACATTTTTCTTGCAGTGTAGCGTAACTAAATTTTGATTGATTTGCCAAATTTGTTGCTATTGTTGTCATTGGTGTTGTTGTTGTGCTGACTACTTATTGATGACATCATAGAGATCCGAATATCGAGTGTATGTGTGGATGTATGGGTATTGCATGCGACAGGGTGGGCGTGGGGGGCGGCGGCGCGCCACCGTTGGCGGCAACCACCGCATGTCCGTGCGCGTGTGGCGCATGCGCCGTTGGTGGCGGCGGCAACGTAATGGACAGTGTGACCGTTTGCGGCGCCGCCGCCGACACTGAGGAGGCGCCGTGCGTGGATGTGGGCGTGGCTGCTAGAGCCGCGGCCGCTGACTGTGCGGCAACAGCTGCTGCGGCGGCGGCAGCCGCCGCACCACCTGACAAATGATGCGCGGATGTGGGTGGTTGCGGTGGTGCTTGTGTATGATGCGTTGGCTGTTGTTGTTGTTGCTGCTGCTGTTGTTGTTGTTGTTGCTGCTGTTGTTGGTTATGATGTGCCGTCGCTGCCGTTTGTTGTTGCTGCTGCTGCTGCTGCTGCTGTTGTTGTTGTGCTCCAGCTGCTCCAGTGGTGGGATGTCACTGAGCCACCACCGATGTGGCGGCATTCTGTTGCACCACAACGCCCGGTGCCACCGAATTGGCCACAGTGACCGTCACAGGCGGCACACTGGCACCGCCATTGGCGTGCGCGGCACTGGGCTGTGCCTGCGTTTGGAACGGATGCTGAAAGGGTGGTCCATAGCATTGGGGAAAGTAGAGCTCGTTCTTAACCACAGATTGTTGGGCGGCGGCGGCACTCATGCCGCGCGGCAATATGTTCGCCTTGTTGTCCGCCGTGGCAGGGTTGTTGTTGTTGAGGAATTGCTGTGCGGCAAGATTCTTGGCATCGTTCATCAGGTGGTTAGCCACAACGGCGCTCGCAGCGCTCGCCACCACATGGGCGTTCTGTGCACCACCATTGTTGTTGTTCTGCTGCTGTTGTTGTTGCTGCTGCTGCTGTTGCTGTTGTTGTTGCTGCTGACGACGCACCTTTGTGGTATTGGGATTCATGTGGTTGTCAATGTGCTTCGTCACCTCGTTCTCGGTGGCAAAGCGACGTCGGCAATTGGGCATGGGGCAGCAGAAAGGACGATCGCCCTGAATGTGGAGAATTTGTGGAGAAATGCATAAGTTATGTTTCAATCAGAAAATCAATAGAATTATTTCAATATAGTATATACAGGGGTGCCTCAGAAATCTCTTTCGCCCAGGTTTCGGTGTCACAGAAATCTGTTTTGGGAAGTTTCAAAACTCGTTTGTTTTGCCACGAGTTTTATTTAAAAACACTAACAAAGACATTTTTCCTCATTAAAAAGAAATCATTGGGATATAAACCTTATAGTTTTTCTGACCAATCTGCATCAAAAATATTGTGCATATTCTAAATTAAATTACTAAATTAAAAACTTAAAACACCAGCATTCACACACAGCATCCAAGACAACCGTGCACTAGAGATGCCCAATTGGCCCAAATAGAAAATTACATTTTTCGAACATCACATTTAGCCGAGCTAAGTGTAAAGTTGTGAGTCAAACGAAAGTTAAAAATAAAACATATATTTGACGCAGTTCTTGTTTCAAATAAGTACCAAATAACTGTGTATTAATTAAACAAGCTTGGCGAAAATTGTGAGTCGTCGAGTGGCAAGGTCTATTTGTTAGCGAAAATATGAATGACACTGAACCGCCATTTAAAAATACAAGGCAAAAGAAGATGCAACTCTATTTTTGTAATTTCTGAATTCAATTTTAAATGCTACTTTTTTGTAAGGGAAAACATAGATCGCCGCAACAGGACAATTTATGGAAGCACACCCCGACATTGTGCAAAATTCAAGTGCTTTACAGGATTTATATAGGATTAGTCAGTCACATATAGGCGTCGACAGTCAGCTGCGTTTCACAGCTGGCTTGGAGGGGAAGTTCGAAAAAATGCAATTTTTCGAAGTTCTGTGGCACCGACGTATTTTATTGGGAGTTTTCAAAAACAACTGTATCCGAAACCACCGTAGTTTTCTGTGACACCCCTGATAAATCATCCATGTTTATATATTTATAGAGTTACATGAGTTTCAACTCACTACCCTATAATAGCCAACAATTTTAGAGAGACTCGTACGTTTATGTGGGCTTGTTACCACCTTGGTTTTAGAAATTGGGTTGTATCTGCATCTAAGTCTAAAGATTGAGGCCGATTGGTGGCAATTCCACTTTCAATTTTTCAAAAATCATTTTCAAATTCAAATCTAAGTATTACCTTTCTTGTAATGTAATATGTGTATATTATTTGTATTGATATAAATGCTACATTAATAAAAGATAAACCATACTGTATTCCCTATTGTAGCTCAAATTTGGGAAATACTTTCAAAATGGTTTCAAAGCATAACGTAGAACGTATTTCAAATTGTCTATTTTATCCGTTCAAAATCGCTTTAAATCATTACTGATCAGATATAAATTGATTGCTTTTGACTTTAAATGGGTATTCAAGTGATTCCGGCAATGTTAAAAATTCGGTGTTTCGGACTCGAGTGGTTAAAAAATGGTCCAGAGACATACAAGTATCTTAAGAATTTTAAGCTAAAAACTTATAGTGTTGCAATTAAATTTCAGGATCTTAATAGCTATGAAGTTCCAAATTAATTCAGGGATGATTAAATACTTGAAACAAGGATTTATTCTTAATTAATATGGAAACGTTTTTACGAAATCTTAAAATTTGTTTAGAAATTTTAGAAAGTGTCTCTAGTTTTAAGCGGTTGACAACATTATAAAAACTAATATTACACCAAATAATGCAAATCCTATTTAATATCTTCACATCTTTAAACGAATAGCAAGATCAATTAAATTCGATCATTTAAAACTTCACTTAAAAGCCTGTTCTTTATCATTATTCTCTTTTAAATCCTTTTCCCTTAACTCATTTTCTTTTCATAGTTTTTTCGCCAATAAAGGATTGTTGATGATTCTAAATCAAATCGTTTTTGCTCGAAGAAAAAAAAAAAAAACGACAAAGCGCACACCATTGGAAAGGGATTTATTTTACTTTAGAATCGTTATGAAATAGTGCGGATCTATTTTGTTTTATGGAGAAAATTGTGTTTGTTGCAAGTTTTTTAAGCGGCGAAACTAGTATGCAGGGAAAAAGATAAAGAGATAGGATATCTGTCGGACAATTGTTGCTAGGAAAACGTTAGCTCTTACTAATTTGACTTAAAGAAGGGGATTTGGCATTTTAGTCGATAAGCTAATGTAGCTCTTCAGTTTAAACCAGAAATTTGTTCTTTATGGATTTTGGAATTCTACGAAAGCTACAACCGGGCTCGGGCTAAGCTACCACTACCTGGTGGGTTCGCGTGTGCTGATCCAGTATGGCCTTCTGTCTAAAGTCCTTGCCGCATTGGGCGCACTTGTAGGGCTTCTCGCCGGTGTGGATACGCAAGTGCTGGAAACATATGAAATAGGAGCACGTTACAGAAAGACCTATATCCTATAGACCTATTGAGCTGCCACTTACCTGATTCAGAATGGTGCGCTGTCGGAAGAAGCGGGGACAGTACATGCAGCCAAAGGGCTTCTCATTCGTATGAATGCGGAGATGTTGCGTCAGATGTGACTGTTGGCGGAAGCGTTTGCCGCACTCCGGACACGGATACGGACGCGATTCGATGTGAATGCAGCCATGCTGGAGCAGAGTCGTCTTCTGTTTGAACTCCTTGTCACAGATCGGGCAGCGTACATAGAGCGGCATGTTCGCGGGCCGGACTCCAATATGCTGCAGAACCTCGGGCAATATCTTTTGGCCTGCTTCGTAAATGGCAAAATAGAAGTGCGCTCATTAGATACAAAGTAACCAAATAGAGTCCATGGGGTCTTACACTCACCCTTGCCGTCCTTGAAATAGGAGGGATAGTGCATGCCACCGCTGCCGTCGGGCGTGCCTTGCGAATCGTCGTCGTGGTAGCCACCACTGGCGCCCGCAATGTCGCCTTTCGTGTCCGCTTCCTCGCCCGGAAAGGGCACATCTGAGGGCCAGAGCGTCGGATGCGGCCCATTCTTGAAGATAAGATGCGGCGAGACATCTATTGTGGGGACGTATTGTTGCGCAAGCACATGCAAATAGTTCAGAGAGAAATTGCCACTGTTAGCAGCGCTTAAATCGGGCACATAGCCGATATCATCTTTAGCACTAAAATCGGCTAACATCTTCTAATATTGCAAGACTAATGCCAACCTAGAGAGACAGAGCTAACTGTGTACTCTACAATTCTTATTTGTTTTGTTGATTGTTGGTTGGTTAAAACGCTCTTTAACACCCGTTTGTTTCAAATTATTGGTAAATTTTTTCATTTTAATTCTTAAATGATTCGGGATGCTTGGCTATGCTGATTATAGGTGTCTACAATTGTTCCATAATGAAAGTGTTGGACAAAGAATAGCTTTTTAAATCGTAATAGTCTATATAGTTTTGCGAAAATAAGATTTTGTTCGAATTGTTTCTAGGGCAGCTCAATTCGGTGGCAATAACAAGAAAGTTTGCCTACAAAGAAAGAATTCTTGCACAGATCGTTGCTATGGCAAATATATAAAATATTGCTGCTACATATCGTCGTAACAAACTTGTTATCCGTAAGGATAAGACAAAACTACACGCCAAGTTTGGTATTCTTAACTCTTTTGGTTCAAAAGTTACGGACGTTCATACAGACAGACGGATGGCTATATCGATTAGTTTCTTTTTCATTCATATCTGCACTAATGGCACGAGACATGTGGCATTACATTTAATATCGGCGAGAAAGATAATTTAGATAATACTACACAGCTTGAATTTTCAGTCTTGCAATATATTCTTGTTTCTTTTTAGACTTAAGAGGATTCCGTATGAGTATAGAGACTTTTTGCTCTCAGCTTAAGGTATAAAAAAATGTTATACAAAACCACAAATATCCGATTTAATACAATTTATTTTTTCAAATCAATGAAATGAAAATACTGTGGATATGTGATATCGATGCTACAGGGATCCTGCAGCAAAAGAATCAGTCTTAACTTTGAATTTTGTTGATCAAGCTGTTCAACTCTAAAAAAAATTTAGCCCCACATTATAATTGACCAAGAAGCCTCGAATCAGTTAAGTTTTTAGTTGAGCGCATAACAAACCAACAACAACATCAACTTTTGGAAATTTTGAATAATTCAGTTTAAGGCCAAACGTGAAAAGATGGAAAAGCGAGATTGAAATTTTGCAGGGGATGTCTGCATTGCTGCAGGAAGCCAAACGTTTGCGAGTCGCTGGACACGCCCTATACCTAGTCATAGCTACAGTAACTTTAGCAACAACAACTGATTGAGTTGCTGGCTGGGTCGAGTTTCTTGGACTGTTTGACTGCCTCGGCCTTGCGGCCCTATTCATTAGCAATGGATGTGTTAACTGTCGCTCGCCTTGGTGGGTGCGCACATGTTGATTGAGGATGGCCTTCTGGCGAAAGTGCTTGCCGCACTCTGGGCAGGCGAAGGGCTTCTCACCCGAATGGATGCGTATGTGCTGGTTGAGTATGGCCCGCTGCCGGAAGCTGCGGGAGCAGTACGGACACGTGAAGGGCTTTTCGTTGGCATGGATGCGCAGATGTTGCGTGAGATGGGACTGTTGGCGAAACCGCTTGCCACATTCGGAGCACGGGAAAGGTCGCGCGTCCGTGTGTATGCGATCGTGCTGCAGCAGCGTGCTCTTCTGCTTGAAGTCTTTGCCGCAGGTGAGGCACTTGAACAGCCGGAGATCGCTGTGCGGTTTGTTCTTGTGTGGGCGGCCGGGTCCATTGCCACGACCGCTGCCAGTGCCGGCACCGGCACTCGGCCCATTGGCCGATGGCGCACCATCGTTGGCGTTCGCACCGCTCGCATTCCCCTGCCCGGCATTGCCGTTCGTTGCATGGCCGCCACCTGCTCCCCCACCGCCGCCATTCTGTTGCGCTCCATTCTGCTGGCCCGGCAAGAGATCGGGCAGTGTATAGGCCTCCAGGCCAGCGCCTCCGCCGTTCTGCTCCATGGGCAGTACGCCCTTGTTCAGATAATGCAGCGGAGGGAAGCCGGGTGGCGCCAGCATGCCACCCTGTGGTCCGGCAGCATGCCGCGGCGCATAGTAGTCGGGCGTCTGGAAGCTATTCGTCGGATCACCCTGGGGCTGACCGCCGTTCTGCTGTACATGCGGGTTCCCCGTTTCACCGGCGGCACCACCGCCACCACCGCCGCCCGCGCCCTGCGCATGCTGTGGCTCGTTGCTGCTTTGGTTTGGATTTGGCGCGGAGTTCTGTTGATTAGCGAGCTGTAAGAAAAAAGCAAGTGTTAATCACTTGAAGTTTCAATAATAGAGGTCAAGATCCCTAAATAGTAAATCCACTTAAATAAATACTCTGGTACTTATAAAAAGTTCCGATCAGAACTATTTACATGCAGTAAGGAAACTTGACAGTCTCCAAATACAGGCAAACAAGTTAAGAGAGTGACATCGTCCTGTCGTGCTGGTCAGTTAAATACCCATTATCTGCGCAAGGTATATTTTTCGATTTGTACAGATTGAAGATTTTTGCATTCTAATAAAGTTATTGGGGTATCTATTTTCTTTAATTTCCATAGTTCCACTTAAAGTTCCAGAAGAAACCATAGAGTAAAAGCGATTGCATGGCAGGAGAAGGACTCAATATAGTATTACTTATATAAACAAACTATCGTATCGAAATATCATGAGTTAGGATTAAATTTATGTTCGGAGAGATATGCGTGGAAAGCATATTTCAGAGCATTTCAAACGAATTGTTGGTACAATGTCTTCAGTAAAGATTTCCTTACATTTTATATGTATAATCTAAGAAGTATTTATTGAAATAAATTAAACAAAATACAAATTCCTCTACTCCATATGCTGTTCCGAATACTTTTAAAAAACTACATAAAATCTATTGATAGGTATAAGCTTAAATATTTAGGATCTGTCTGGCCAGGTATTGTTCATGCACATGATATACGACAGCTCTTTTTAATAATCGTTCTATTGTCCATTTACTAATCTTATCAACAGACCCATTTGCAATTCTAAACCTAAGTACTTTCAAGCTTACAACTCAATTACGCAAGTTTCTAACCAAGGGAAATCTACTTAAGAATCGCCGCTATGCTTTTAAGTCACTCTCTTTAAAAGCATATATGTATGTATATATTTATATGGTTTGTGACTTCACTAATCTACAAAGATATCTACTCCAGAATTATCTGTTTTAAGCTTTAATTAGTTCTTCAGATGTTTTAATTTTTCTGTAAAAATGCCATGCTGGTAAAAATTAAATTTATTATTAATAAATACCTATGATTGACTTTGATTCAAATAAGAAAGGGTGGCTATGTATGTCTTAAAACAACTTTTCTAGCAGGGTAGCTAGAAAGGTAACACTGGAAGTCTATTGAGTATATACAAATTTACAACAAAAGCAATTGAAATATTTATAGAAAAAAACCGTACTGCACCGTAGAGGTCTTTCTAACATATTCAGAAATTACTTTTGGCAAACAGGCACGGCGCAACTAAATACACCTAATTCTGTTTTACACGGTCTTTTTTTACACGATTTTAATATAACACGGTTGAAAATTAAAAATTGCATACATAATTATTTCTTTAGAGATAAGGAACCACGTGTTCTTAGTTTGTTCGACGATTCACTACAGCCTTACGATTTTTTTTATCATTACGGGAATGGCATCACTTCTCCACATCAAGTTAAAGCGTGTGTGGCGTTGTTACGATTAAGTTATATTAAAGTTCAACGCCCCGAAATGTTGATCAACAAAATGGTTATAGATCTTAATACAACGTTGAATAGATTTAAAAATATTCTCAAACAAAGCCAAAAAAGCAGATATGTATGTATGTATGTATGTACTTATGTATGTTTGTACGACGTCTGTCTGTATGTAGACTTATGTATTTGCATTACTCACAAGTTCCTCTTGAGGCAGAAACGTGCCATATATATGAAAGATCCGTTCCTCTTCCCACAGGCACTCTTGAAATTCAATAACTATCTTTTGGGATAAAAAAACACTCCAGTCGCCCATGTTCGGGATAATACATATATAATTGCGGTCTAACTATTTTTTATACTGGCCCAACTGTACGATCACCGCGAAAAGATTGCTTTTTTTTTTGGCTAAATATCGATATCTCTATCGAAAAGCTTAACATATGTACTGGCTTGTGCTATTACCAAAAATCGATAATTAATAGTGGGATTCCTGCAACAAATTTTGATTTTTCATAGACCTTGTCGCCAGTTCTTGAGTTTTTGATAAATTGTTTATATATTTTCTAACGCTTTCTTTATAAACTCTATTCTATTCGTCCACATTTTAAAATGATATTTTACACATACATATATTACAAATCAGTTGCAGAAATACCAAACCAATAAGCCAGTACTTTTTTTAACTTTCAAAAGTCATTTCGTCTGCTCTTCTTTTGTCATTACATACATTTAATTAAACTCCCAAACTGTCACATAGCGGTAACAATCAATATGAATATATTAAGGTGTAAAATCAATTTTTTTAAAGCCAAAATCAGTCAAGGAACAGACTTCCACTTTTTAAAATTCATAAATTGCCTACTGGAATACCACTTATATCGATAGACAAAGCTGCATATTACTTGTGCATAAAAGACGATCTAAATATTAAGAAAAAAAAATTGGGTAATTGTCTGTTTTCTGTTCAAAGCTGCCACCTAAAGCACCCCATCCACAGGCGAGCATGTTGGCCGAACTTTTTGTGCTCGACAAAATGTTCGACGTTAGTGGGGATGCTCGGGTTGAATGTGAGGCTCGGCGTCTGGCTCGTGTAGATCGTGCCAACAGTGTTGCCCCATCATCGTTTGTAAAAAAAAATGTATATATACTATATTTCTGAAAATTAGCAAAGAGTTCGTGCTCGATTTTTTAGAATGGTTGCATAATGAGCCGTCGTTGTGGAAAAAAAAAGCAACAATAAGCATGTGATATACACCTAATTCTGTTTTTACACGGTCATTTTTTACACGATTTTTACACGGTTTGAAAATTACAAATTTCATAGAATTAGGTGTATACATATTTCCCTTTTTCTCACCTTTGTATGCACCATCACTGACAAAGAGAACATATGATAACAATATACCGTTATATGGTTTTTACTATTTTCTTTTCAATCGAAAAGGGTGCTTCATTTTTGCGTCATCAGGTTAGCACATGCAATTGGCTTTTCATTTATCTTCTCATGAATATGAATGCAAACACTTGTAAAAACGTATCGAAAATTGCTTTCCTATTTAAAAAATTAGCTCGGATGGATGTTTTGAACACAACAATGCTTCGATTCATACTGCCCGGGTGATCAAATCTTGGATTGAAGCACAAAACGTCGAAAAACAAATGATGTGTGCTAACCTGATGACCAAATTTAAAATGTGAATTTTTCAGTTGACTTCGAAAAAAAATCATAAAAAAATATTTGCAAATAGAGGAACATTAATTCTTATTTTATTTTTATATTTATGTTTATATTTTTATATTTTATATTTAGTTAAAAATTAAGTGGTTTATAATCGCTAGAAATTTTAGAGTTTTATATTTTTTAGTTTTAATAGAAATTAGCGAAAACTATTAAAATCAAACGTCCGTACTTGTCAAAATTTTCTGTCAAATGATGGTCGCAAACAATGTTCGCCACGTTAGTGGGCAAACGTATTTGTAACAACATGCTCGCCTGTAGATGGGGGAGGTGCTTTATCAATGCTTTAACATTCCCTATATTTGTGAACTGTAATTGAAGGCCACATTAAGCGGACTTTAAGTTAACCAGGCTAGGTTGGGTGCTTCAGTTTAGAACAGTACAATGACATTTCGTTGCCACAAATATATACATCCATTTATTTACATTTCTAATCAAATTTCCGTGGAGACTCGATAGGATGGGGGTCCTGAAGACAACGGAGGATCTTTATAGACTTACCTGATTCATGGCATCCTCATCGGCGCCGCCATTGGCACGCTGCTGTTGCTGCTGCACCGTTGGATAGGGACTGGAGGAGGGGGACACCTGCTGTTGTCGCCCATCCCCGCTGCCATTGTCGCGTGAGCCCGGCTCGCCACCGGGCGGACTTTGTGGCTGCTGGCCCTGCTGCTGCTGTTGTTGTTGTTGCTGCTGGACAGCTGCCGCGGCCGCTGCGGCCTGCGCGGCGACCGTTGCGTTCTGTTGCTGCTGTTGTTGTTGCTGCTGCTGGGCGGTCAGATGCTGCTGGGCCTGCTGTTGGATGCCGGGATACATTTCGCTGCCCCATTGGGCTGGGCTGGCACCGATGGCGCCCGGATTGCGTTCCGCATCCTGCGAGTCCTTGTACAGCACATACGGCTGACCCGTGTCCTGGGTAATGCAGTACATGATTTGGCGCGGCACCTTCAGGCCTGCGGCTATGCAGGCCGCAAAGGAGGCGGAGAAATTTATGGCCATTTTGTTGTTGCGTTGCTGCTTTCTACTTGTTGTAGTTGCTGTTGTTGCTGCTGTTATGGTTTGTATGCGCGTGTGTGTGTGTGTATGGAGCTGCTCCTCGGACTTGTGGACCAACTAGACGCCTCGTCTAGCAGGTGCCGTTCGTAGAGCCTTCGCTTGGTCCTATAAGCGATTTCGTTTATTCTTGACTTTTGTTGCACATTTTTGCGTTTGTTTTGGTTTGTGTGTGGGCTGCAGTTGGTTTGGTTTGTGTCTTGGCTGCAGCGGTCTCAATAATTGCTCCTCTCTGTTATTCATTTGTTGCTTTTTATGGCTTGCATTTTGCTTTACGCTATTTAAAATTCCTTTCTTCTTAAGTGGCTCGTTAATTTTTAAAAATGTTTCTCCCTCTTTCTTTGTTAAAAAGCTTCGTTTTAAGTTCAATTTATGTTTTTACTTTTAGTTGAAATGAAACTTAATCTCCTTCGTTACCTCCTTTTTCCTTTCTTCCTTTGTTTATGTCAAACTTTTGCCCAAAGTTGTTGCTTTCAGTTCTTTTTTTGATATTCTTGACAGAAATAATTTTTTTTTACTTTTGTGTGTTTAGTTTTTTGCGCAATTTTGTTTCAACACCTTGCACGTTCTTTTGAATTTAATTTTATATTTTTTTATTTTGTGGTATAACTGCAAAGATAAAATGAAAATAGAGTTGAATAATAAATGCATAGTAATTATTTCATAAATATTTAAATTAATTAACTTATATCTTAACGTTTAAATAGAAGAACTAAGATCTTACTTGTGTATATTATTTTTGTAAACTTTAATGGACAGGCGCCTGGGCATAGCTTTTTCTACCGCTCTCCTATATCTTAGAGATGTTCTATTTAGTTTAGAAATTTGTGAACGTTTTGCGAAGTTTTGGAGTTCCTGGAAACATTATCGCCTACGGAAAGCCTTTCAATTCAATAGAAATATACGAGAACTAAGCAAATCGGACAACGCAGTGATTTCATTTCATTCATATGTTTATATATTTGACCGGTTCAAATACAAAACCTAACCCCATTGAGCCTACTAATTTTATAGTAATCCCAAAACTATCTAAAATATCACAATCTTTTAACGTAATCAGCTTTTACTTTTAAAAACTATTTTAATGAAGGTCATACAAGTCTAGAATGTAGACACTTGGTTTGAAAAAACTCGATAATTATATGGATGTAAACAACCATAAGTTATTGTCTTCCTTTAAAACGGCTATATTGCTCTTTCCAAAATTTTCGGTGTAAACATATATTTAGATAAAAGTACATAAATTGTTAATACTCGTTATTAATAGTCGATGTGCTTGACTGTTTGCTTTGCAGAATCCGAAACCGGTCAGGGTTGAAGGATTACGTACTTAAAGGAGTGGATTTGTGAAAATCGACCCGAAGGTGGGACAAAATGGAAAACAAAATTTGAATGGTATATTGAAAAAATCAAACCTGGTGAAAAAATCAAATTTTGAAAAACTGTTACACATTCCTACTCTAAAGTCGCTGATCACCATGAAGGAACAACTATTTTAAAAAGTGTTTGTGGGCAAGCAGGGAAGAAAGTACTTTTCTCTTGTGCTCGAGAAGTTTTTAGAGATAGGCCAGCAAAGTAATAACCATTAAATACTAATACTAAGGAAGATACTGAGGAAGATACTATCGTGTGGTCCTATCAATCAACTCAGTCATATGCTACTGGTTAGCGAGTTAATTACATAATAGTAGTACCTACAAATTTTTTCTGGGAGAAAGCTGAATGAGCGAGTGAAACAAAATAAGACGGAATTAAAAACCAAGCGTGTTTCAAGTTTTTACTAGACCCGTTTCCCAATACTCCTGTGTATTTAATGTTATTATTGGGTAGTGTGCTGGCAATTATTTGCATTACTCTGTTATTAGACGAGTATGTGAAGTTCTACCAGTTTCTAAAGCTCTACACATTCCCAAAATGACATCAGAATCGGCTGCAAATCTGCGATAACGATAAATCACATTCATGGCATATGATGAGACGCACCAGCCACAAAGCTGGGCGATATCTAAGTCAACTCTCTCTCTCTCTCCCTCTTACACAATCTCTGCTACTCCCGCTCTCTCTGCCTCTCTCTCTTGTTTTTTTTTTCGTGTTCCAGAAACAGCCACACTGCCCACAGCCACACATGTTCAACAGGCAATTTTTGATGTACACGCCATCGTTGTTGTTGTTGTTGTTAATGGATGTTGCCGTTTAAGCAGGGAGGGAGAGCCAGCCAGCCAGCAAGCCTGCGTGCCTTGTGGCTCTACAGTTAAAAACTCTAAACAGGCTACGCTCTGTCAGGGGGCTTCAGGCACACACACGCACGCACACCAACATACATACATATGTACGTACGTGCATGCATACGTAGTGTATGTGGTGTGTGTGTGCATTGAGAGCCCGCGCAAGCTCGAGACCTTGATCCCGCATTAAAAAGTTGGCACGTCGTCGTCGTCATCATCGTGGGGTCTTTGAGGCAACAGCGAAATGAATACAAAGATAACAACAACAAAAGACAACAACAACAACAGTCGGCGAAGCGGCGAAGACCACGACAATAAAGGAATAAACATATGGCCTGGACTGGCGCGTCGATTGGGGGTGTGGGGCCAAATCGGTTCGGGTCGGTTCGAGGCGCGCTGTTTGGCATGCTTGCCAGCGTCCATTTATGCGCCACTCCCCTCAATCAGCCGTTGATGATCTTCATTGTTTTTAATTTGCGAGCCACATTTTTATCAACGTTTTTGTTACTTTGTAAGTATTTAGCTGAGGTTTCACTTTTCTCGAAATGCCTTTTAAGCCGTTTGAAATTAAATGCGGGCCATTCGTTTCGCGTGGCAAACATATTAAAGCAATTGTAATAAATAGAATGCTACTTAAAGAGTTAGTTAAATGTTTAAGATCTTAGCGATTTGGATCAAATGATATCCTTTACAAAAGATAAACGGCCATGACTGGGCTGATTTATTTCGCAATGCTGGCCATTTGTTTACCTCTAATTTACATAGAATGCTAGAAGAATATTAAAGTCTGCTGAAATTTATTGCTATTTTACTAAACTTATTTATCTAGTAAAGCAGTATATAAAGTTTTAAGATATTAACTTTTTTGGCAATATATGTTGATGCTATATGTATGTACATACATACATATGAAGTACTGTATACCTAAGTTCTATTTCATAACCATTTGCTCATATGTTTTTAAGTACATACATAAATATTTAAAAGAAAAACCAAGATTTATTATTATTTGAAGCTTCAAGGCTAGAGGAATTCTTGTGTCTAATGGAAAACATAATATTCATACTTGTGTATAGGTAATTGGATACTGTATGTATAAATATATATACATACAAGTATATATGTATATAAATAATATACATAAATATGTGTTCAAAAAGTTATTTAATAAATAAGAAATGTACGTATACGTATTGTACATATTGCTAAGGAAGCAACTAATACAAACGTGTTAATACCTGTAGTTAAAACAGTTAAACTAAATCTAGAAAGTGGTCGATATGACAATCAAAAAGAAACATGAGAATCGATCATATGTGTTGTTAAAAATGTTTCCTAACAGGCTTTGAAACTGATCTTTTTATACTCTGTACATGAAATATACAAGAGTATATTAGGTTTGCGGGAAGTGAAAAATGTAACAGGCTGAAGGAGGCGTGGCAGACCCCACAAAGTATATATATTCTCGATCAGCATGACGAGACGAGTCGATCTAGCCCTGTCTGTCTGTCTGTCCGTCTGTCCGTCCGTCCGTATGATCCCCTAGATCTCAGAGACTAGAAGAGCTAGAGACACCAAAATTTGCACAAAGATGCGTCATGTGTGTACGCTATACGAGTTTGTTTTATTTTTTTGATTTTTCCCCCTACTTCCCCCCTATGGGGGTGTTTCCGCAACGCCGTTCGTATAATCGCCTATATCTCAGAGATTATAAGACCTAGGGATATCAAATTTAAAGTCCAAGATGCCTTATGTGAATACGCAGAAAATGTGTATTTTGGAATTTCCCTCCCTCCCCCCTCTCCCCAGCAAAATCGCATTCATACACTCACACAGACGCAATTGCTATGTAAATGTGCAATTATACACCCTTTACGTGAGTTCGAATACCGAAAGAGGTAAAATCGATACAAATTTTTTTTATATTTTCTTAATTTTTTTAATTTCTGTAATTATTTTAAACATATGTACAGAGTATTTCAAAGTCGGGACACCCGACCTTAGCTTTTTTACTTGTTTGATTTGGTTTTCAATATTTTGTGGCTTAAAGTGGAATTTAGATGATCCTGAGAAACTATTATTCAATTTTCTTGATAATATCTGTTAAGACTCTTTGTAATATTTTAAGAAAAGTTGTTGGACAAATATAAAATGTCGAATAATTTTTGATCATCACCCATCATCATCAGAAACTTTACTTAAATTTTCTTCATAATATCTGTTAAGGCTCTTTGTAATATTTTAAGAAAAGTCGTTGGACAAATATAAAATGTCGAATAATTTTTGATCATCACTCATCATTATAAACAATTAATTTATGACTAGAGCGTTAAGTTGCACATGAATATATGTTAAAATTGGTTGTTAAATGTATGTATGTACGTACATATGTTTATATTGAAAAATAGTTCGAACTGTTTACTATATAACAGCTTTCGTTTAACAATATGTTCATTCTATGGCCAATTTAATGCTCAATTGCCCATTTGCCCCACAATATTCATAGTCGGTGGCGATGTCGAAATCACTAGACCGTAATCGTGACAGACTATGGCTAGACAAAGTTTGATAAAGTTTCATATGAAAAGCAAGCTGCATCCAAACTAAAATTGCAGTCCCCTATACATACACATACGTATGTATATGTATGTACGTATGTATTTCTGAATGACTGCCTGAACTGACGACTAATTTGTTAAGTTAAAACCAATTGAGCGTCAGAAATGTTAAAGAAATCAGCGACGTTTGTTCTACCACATACTATATGTATGAGTGTGTGTGTGTAGACGATAAATGTGTGTAATAAAACGCACGTCTCTGACCAAATGAAATGAATTGGAAAAATAAAATTGGAAACGCATGTGCGTGTTCGTGGCAACAACAACAGCAACAACAACACCAACAACAGCAACAACAACAGCAACAACAATTATAAGAAGTTAGCAAAGCTGTGTCGCGCCAAGCATTGCAAAATAAAGGAGAGAGAACTAAACTACCTTGAACCCGCATATGAGCGAGAGTCAAGCGGATGGGAGAGTGAGCGCAGTGAGTGAGGCAAAACGCCAATGCAGTTGCATTTCGTGTTGTTGTCAACGTCGACGTCGACGCTGCTGTCAGCGTAGCAGTTAGCATCGCAGCGACGCACCGTTGTTGCTATTTGTGAATTATTGCGATCCATTGGCAGTGCGACAGCGTTTACAATTTATGCGTTCGTTGTCGCTGCATTCGCACTATCTACACAGTACAAACATCCAAATATATGTACATAAATACATGAACGTACATATGTATGTGTGTGTGTGCCTGTAGTCTGTATGAACAGCATACTATATGTTCGTAGGTATGTACATATGTAGGCAGTGTGTGTTCGCGTCTG